ACTGGAGGTAGGTGGGGTTGGGAACATGAGAATGAGTGTGGAAGAAGGGAGGGAAAAATATTGGAAGAAACTGAGAGGACTCAGTTAGCCAGAGCCAGGCTGACTCCGTGACAGGCTGAAAACTGGCAGTTTGGGAGACTAGGCCTAGTGTCTGTTTTCCAGAAATAAGAACCCAGTTCCAGGAACCTGTAGTTAGCCAAACACAGGCACTGGTAGCCAATCTGAGGACACCTTGTCATCTGGCCTAAAGTTAGAATAGGTAGCTGGAATGAGTAAGTAACACCCTTGGAAGTTTCCAGAGCCTAACCAATTGTAGAATCAGTCAGACCCCTAGAGATAGAATTAACCAATCAAGGTAAAAGGGCACATACCCCTTCCTGGAATTCCTCTAACTGACAATAAAAGCTGGGCCTGAAAGTCCACTAGGTGTCTCCATTCCTGAATGAGATCCATGAATGCAGAAAATTCAGCTGAATTAAATGTTCTTTGCTTTTGCATACTATTTAAGCCTAGGATTATCATTCACTGGTGATTCTTGGACCCTAACAAAATCACTGGAACTGGGGGGGGGCATTTGGACAGTAAGTAGAAACCTTGCTAATCGAAACTCCATGGAATTTACGAGGGTAATCCTAGCAAAGAACCCTAGTTATGGGGGATACAGGGCCTGAATTGGCCATCTTCTAGAACAAGGCAAGACTCAAGTGGAGGGCTTAGGACACCAACCCAGCCACAAAACCTTTGACCTGAAGTTTGTTCTGCCTGCAGAGTGTTCTGGGACAGGAGACTAGCAGAATCATTATCAATAAGACCAGAGAGACTTGATCCAGCAACTGATGGGAGTAGACGCAGAGTGTCACTGCCAGACATGAGGTGGAGTTTAGGGAGTACTATGGAGGAGGGGAGGAAGGACTGGAGGAACCAGAAGGGTCAGGTCCACATAATGGGCTAGGACTCATGGGGACTTGAGAGATCAGGGAACGTGTAGGGGTCTTATCTAGGTCCTCTACATATATGTCATTGCTGAGTAGCTTGGTGTTCTTGTGGAAATCCCAACAGTAAGAGTGGGATCTGTCCCTGACTCTTTTGACTATTTATAGCACTCTTTACCCCTTACTGGGTTGCCTTTTCCAGGCTTGATGTGATGGTATGTACCTGGTCTTATTGTAGCATGTTATAACATGTTTGGTTGATGTCCCTGGAAGGCCTGCTCTTTTCAGAGTGGAGGGCTGGGAGTGGAATCGGGGGAGAGGGGAGGTGGGGTAGAGAGGAGAAGCTGAGGAAGGGAAGAGAGTGAGGGGAAACTGTAGTTGAAATATAATATATGAGAGAAGAATAAAAAATTAAAACAAGTCATAATAAATAAATTTCTCAAACTCTTAAAAAAAGAATAAAAATCTCAGCTCAAGGATGTCAAAGTACCTGTTACTCTACAGAAATACCAAAAGTGACATAAAAAGGAAGAAAGAAACACCGCAATCACCCACCATCTGTATAAAAACTAAAAAACAGTAAAAAGTTTATAGTAACAAATTATAAACTTAATTGATACAGTCAAAATGCTCAGTGAATCTGTCTTTGCCTCACATCCCTTCTGGATTAACAGTTGTCTTGAAGACTGAGGTGAGCACTCCAGATGAGGAATGCTCTGAAGGAGCACAGCAAACCTTGTTCTGAGGGAAGGATGGTCATTTATTTTGGGTTGATTTGGGTTCTCAGAAGAACAGAGTCTCTCCCAAAGTGGAAGCAGACAGGTAGAAGTCATCTTTCAAAATTACTGAAATGCAAATGGCCAAGTTGACATCTAGGGAAGAAGAGAACAATTGGCTGGCAGTTGCCACAGACTTTCTCCCCTACCTTGGGACATAGTATCATCTTTGGAGAGAGTTGGACCATGCATCCATCAATCCAAAAGGCTGGCTCCTACATGCTGAGGGGATACAGCATACCTTAGCCACCTGGAGGCTAGTAAAAACAGAGACGGTAGTTTGGACTAGCATCTGCCTACCCTTTTTTCCATGCTCATCAAGGGGGAACTAAACAGTGTCATTTATGAATATCATCATATATTTATAGGCAACATAGAGATTTGTAACTGTAAAAGAATCCAAGTTTCCAAAACCCACCATTCAACTGGATATTTTGAATATTAAGCAATTATAAGGAGGAATTGATTTTGTCATTTTGCTCTGTTTTGTGTTTGTTCCTCAATTCCTCATTATTTACTTAATTTTTGCTTAGGTGATTTTCTTTGCATTTAACTTTCATGGTTATGGTAAAAAAAAATCCACATTTTACATTTATTTTAATTTGGTTGAACTGATACCAGCCAGCGCTGTTGTTTAAATGTAAACTATCCCCAACAGGCTGGTGTTATTGTTTGGAAAGGATATAGAACTCATAGAGAATGAATCACTAGGGGTGGGCCTTAATGTTTTATAGCCTGGCTTTACTTCGGTTCACTCTTTGCTTCCTAAGTAGAGACGCAACGTGACCAAGTAGCCTCTTGTTTCTGCCACCATGCTTTCCCTGCCTGATGCCATGTCTTCATTACCATGATGGACTGTAACCTCCTAGAACTGTGAGCCAAAACAAACACTTCCTCTGATAAGTTATTCTTGTCAGGATATTCTTTCACAGTTAACCTAAATTTTGTTCTTGTATATCTACACCCCTTCCCTTTATGTTGTACCACAAATTACATATATATATATATATATATATATATTGCTCAATAAAAGCTTAACAATTTGTATACATCTGTCTTTCTCATAATCTAGCAAACCAAAACTACAATCATAGTTATTTTATTTATATATGCAGTTGCTTTAAACATCTTCTTCACAGAAGATTTAAGTTACTTGCTAGTTTACTTTCATTATTACACAAAAGATTCCAGCATTTTCTATAATGATAAATGTTATAGTAATGAACTCCTTCAGCCTATAATTTCTGCTCATGTCTAAATTTCTCTATTATTTTTAAAGGACAGTTTTGATAGTCATAAAAATTTGGTTACCAATCTATGCCCTCCTCTACTTTAAAAATGTCACTCTGCTACCAGCTATATTCCATTGTTTGTGATGAAAATTCAGTCTCTGTCAATCATGATTTCCCAACCTGTTTCTATGAAGTTGGCAGCTGTAGATGTCTCTCATAAGTAGAATTGTTCTAAATTTTTTTGTAATTGGTTTACTTAGTAACATCAGATTTTATTCATGTTATAACATGAGATAGGATTTTCTTCTGGTTTAAGTCAGAGTATTTTATTATATGAATATAAATATACTACATTTTTCTTACCAGTTATCTGTTAACAGAAATCTAGATTACTTCTGTAGCTTGAGCAAATACTACTAGAAACTTAAGTGTGAAAGTATCTCTTGCCGGGCGGTGGTGGCGCACGCCTTTAATCCCAGCACTTGGGAGGCAGAGGCAGGCAGATTTCTGAGTTCAAGGCCAGCCTGGTCTACAGAGTGAGTTCCAGGACAGAGAAACCCTGTCTCGAAAAACCAAAAAACCAAAAAACAAAAACAAACAACAAAAAAAGAAAGTATCTCTTAAGACTCTGTTCTCAATATTCCTGGACATGTATCCAAAAAAGAATTGTATCGTAATTTTTAGCTTTTCGCTTTATTGATGTATACTTAATAAAGAATCACATGCACTTAAAGTATGCATGTTGATGGGTTTTGAAATATGCATATAATTTAGTATGCTAACACACCATATTCATATCTCCATTATTTGCTTTTGGGGAGTAATACCTAACATGAAATTGAACCTTTTAATACAGTTTAGAGTCCTTTATACAGTATTGTTAATTGTAGGTAAATACTATACAGAAAATGATTGTTTAACAAGGTAGAAAAGAGATTAGTTATTTGGAGAATACAGAAAGACTTGGGAATAAGTCATGCTCTAGCTTTTCTGTCTCAAGGGGAGGAAAAGCACTTGACCTGTGCATCTTCCCAACTTGCAGGACAGGGTCAACTCTAGGAGGATGTCTGCCTCCTCTTTTGCTCTTAGCTATTCTAGCTTCTGGGCTTTATTGTTCTCTTAGCATTCAGGATAAGTGAAATAGAAATTAGTCCTTCAGCAAGAACTCTAAGAGGTTTGGAATAAGACTCCATTTGCCTTGGTTTTCTGCTCTTTATCATTCTGTCAGAAGACTAAAGGCTACAGGAAAACACCTTCCCTCTGTCTTTTGTTCCCTGCTGTTCAAGTGTCCAAGTTCTAGCATTGTTTCAGTATTTGGGAAGAGGTGAAGTAGAAATCTGGCCCTTAGAGAGCAAACTTGAGTCCATGAGACTAGGCAGAATGTGTAGTCTCTCTTCTCCTACCTAAGAGAGAAAACTAATGAAAACCTCTAGGCTATGAGTTAAACTGCCTTGAAGGAAGGTTTTACAGGAACACAGCACATCTGCATTTCTCCTGGATTAGTACAGCCTTTTTTTAACCTTTTGTTGTTCAGAGTGACATTTCTTAACTGAATTCTCAATTTCTTCTAAGAGTACTTTGGTTCAAATAGTACAGTGTGGTGGTTTGAATAGGTTTGGGCCTCACAAACTCATGTGTTTGAATGCTTGGCCCATAGGGAGGGGCACTATTAGGGAGTGTGGTTTCATTGGAGTAGGTATGGCCTTGTTTGAGGAAGTAAGTCATTGTTGAGGTGGGCTTTAAGGTCTTATATTCTTTTAAGCTATACCTAGTGTGACACACAGTCTCCTACTGCTGTCTTTGGATCAAGATGTAGAACTCTCAGCTCCTCCAGCACCACATCTGTCACACTCTGCCATGATGATAATAGACTGAACCTCTGAAACTATTAAGCCAGCCCTAATTAAATGTTTTTCTTTATAAGAGTTGCCTTTGTCATGTTGTCTCTTCACAGCAATGGAAATCTTAACCAAGACAAATGGCTATTCTATTGTGTCTGGAGAGATCAGTGGCCAGGCTCCAAGAGTAAGACTCACTGTTTTTCAGTCTCAAGAATATACCTTTATCTTGGATGCAGATGAATACACACCTGTGAGAACAGACAAGGTTGTGGTCTTTCCTGCTCCATTGTGTCCCAGAAGAACAGTGACCTGTCCCTCATATATGTTCAGTGACAAGTTGCTTACTGCAGGCTTATTTTTAAATTCCTGTGGGATGAAAGAACAACGTGTTATCTGTCAGTTAAAAAGACAAACATTCACATCCTCTGTACTTATATCATGCAACACATGCTATCAAAAATGGATGATATTGTTAGGTCCAAAGGAAACTCTAGCTCCCTAAACTTCAAAAGGCAGTCCAAAAATCCAGAAATGGGCTCAGCCTGGACAATAGGAAGATTTCTGGCAGTTAGAAAAAAAAGCTGCCATTCCTCAGTAATTTGTGAAGAAGGTCCCCCCACCCCCACAAAAAAAATCATTTTCCTTATCATTGGCAGAAGGGACAAATGGCTATTGGTGGTACTTGTTAGCATACTAAAGAACATGCTAGCCTCCAGACTCCTTCAGTGTTACAAGTACATATTATATACATTTCAAAGTACACATTAGCATCTTAGCTCTTCTCACCTATCCTACACTCTCTCCCAGCTCATTGGCTCCCTTACCTCCAGCTACTCATTCTCCTTATCACACTGCTATTTCTCTTGCACTCTGCTCTGTTCCTGATGCTTTCATGGCCAGATACAATCTGCTGGCCACATTCAGTCTACTTTCTCTTTCTGTTCTGGACCCTTCCAGATGCCTCTGGCTGTTCTTTCTCTCTACAATAAACCCTTTATTTACAATAAAGTCCTTTCCCTTAGCCATGCAGTGAAGCAGTCATGTCATCAGTTTATACAGTCACTATATTTCTCTATATTGGGTATAGCTTTGTATCTCTAAATATTTACCAGAAACATATTTAAACATTTCATAGATATCTCAAAATTGGCATACCTAAAAGCTTGAATATATCTATACTATTAACTTTTTCTTCAATAAATATAAAAATCAAAATTATCTTTTGAAAAAAATATTTAACTATTACTTCAAACTCACCTAATGCATCTCTCAATATGCAAACAAGAGATGCTTGAATATAATCCTACACCTTAACATAAATCACACATGATCCCTGTTTTATTGAAGCCTTCACAAAACACAATGGGACAAAAGATAAGAGCACGTAAAAATAGCTGCAGATATGAACAACATTATTAGCAAAACAAAGGGACTAAAATGATACACCTGATAGTACTTTAAGAGCTTAAGAAAATAAAGAATTCTCAACTGAGGAATACTGCACAGCCGAGAAAGCACCTAAGGATGTTCAACATCCTTAGTTATCAGAGAAATGCAATTGAAGACGACCTTGAGATTCCACCTCACACCAGTCAGAATGGCTAAGATCAAAAACTCAGGTGACAGCAGATGTTGGCAAGAATGTGGAGAAAGAGGAACCTCCTCCATTGTTAGGATTGAAAGCTGGTACAACCACTCTGGAAAGCAGTCTGGTGGTTCCTTAGAAAATTGGACCTAGTATTACCTGAGGATCCAGCTATACCACTCCTGGGCATATACCCAAAAGATGCTCCAACATATAACAAGGACACATGCTCCACTATGTTCATAGCAGCCTTATTTATAATATCCGGAAGCTGGAAAGAACCCAGATGTCCTTCAACAGAGGAATGGATACAGAAAATGTAGTACATTTACACAATGGAGTACTGCTCAGCTATTAAAACCAATGACTTCATAAAATTCTTAGGCAAATGGATGGAACTAGAAAATATTAATATATATTATGTAATAATATATGTGATTGAGTGCTAATATGTAATTGAGTATAATAATAATAATTATATAATTATTATATAATGCCTATTATAATATAATTAATATAATTAATAATAATTAATAATTATATAATAATTAATATAATCATATAATAATAATATATGATTGAGTGAGGTAACCCAATCACAAAAGAACACACATGGTATGCACTCACTGATAAGTGGATATTAGCCCAAAAGCTCAGAATACCCAAGATACAATTCACAGACCACATGAAGCTAGGTGCTTCGGTCTTTCTTAGAAGGAGTAACAAAATACTGACAGGAGCAAATATGGAGACAAAATGTGGAGCAGAGACTGGAGGAGGGACTGTCCAAAGACTGTCCCACCTGGGGATCCAACCCAAGTGCAAGCACCAAATGTAAACACTATTGTGGATGTCAAGAACAGCAGGCTGACAGGAGCCTGATATAGTTGTTTCCTGAGAGGCTCTGCCAGAGTCTGACATATACGGAGCAGATGTTCGCAGCTAAACATTGAACTGATCACAGGGTCCCAAATGGAGGAGTCATAGAGAAGACTGAAGGAGCTGAAGGGGCTTGAGGCCCCATGGGGAGAGCGACAGTACCAATAAACCAGAGTCCCCAGGGTCTAAACAGCCAGTGTGGGAACACATATGGAGGAACCCATGGCTTCAGCTGTATATGTAGCAGAGGATAGTCTTGCCAGGCATCAGTGGGAGAGGAGGGTTCAGTGAAGGCTGGATGCACCAGTGTGGGGGAATTCAAGGTCGGGGAGGCAGGAGTGGGTGGATGGGTAGAGGCACACCCTTTAGAAGAAGGAGGAGGAGGAATGGGATAAAAGGTTTCTGGGGTGGAAAATGAGGAAAGGGGATGACATCTAAAATGTAGATAAATAAATTATCCAATAATAATAATAATAATAATAATAAAAGCCAGATAATGGAACTGGCAATTGCAGCCAAGCATTTGAGACTTTTTGTCAACAATTTAATATTACCCATATTAATGGGATTCCTTATAGTCCTCAAGGACAATGGATTGTGGAAGGGGCCCATGGAACTTTAAAACAATATCTTCATAAAATAAAAAAGAGGGAGGTATATCCCCGTACAACACATGTGGGTCCCGCAGCGGAAACGCAGAGAAGGGCCCCAAAAGACATGTGGAGTCCAAAGGTGTTCCAAGGCTTTATTATTCATAGTGTGTGATAGATGTGCGCCCTGTGTTTAGGTCAGGGCAGGCCTGACTTAAATAGGGAGGGGAAAAAGAGGAGGGAATGGGAAAAGGAATAAGTAATTGACTACGCCCTCTGGCCTTTAGGTAACTCATGAATATGGAAATCTCTCGAGGCTAAAGCCTGTAGCCACGCCCTCTACCTGTAGCCTTATGTGATTGCAAGGCGCAGATCAAATGGAGGTCTTAGACCACTAGTCAGGAGTCTGGAATCCTGGGGCGTGGCGATATATGTGCTGTCCCTACCCAGGCAATGGATACCTGTTGGGTCTCTGGCTACCTCAAAGTCAGTGCTCTATCGAAGACCAAATCATCCCTTCATGGTCCAACAAACACAAATTTATTTAAATCATGTTCTTTTTATTTTAAATTTTGTAAAAAAATTGGATGTAAAGGAATTTTCTTCTGAGTGTCTACACTCTACAACTAGGCATACTTATGCCTAGGTAAAAGGGAAAGATCTACTTACTAGCATATGGCATAATCCCAAGCAAGTATTTAATATGGGGAAGAGGGCATGTTTGTGTTTTTTCTACCGGATACTGAAGGAGCATGGTGGCTACCAGAGTGACCGGTGAGACATGCTGATGCTGGGACAAAAAATGATGCTGACCTATGAGCTTGCTGAGTGCCCTGACAATGGTGATTGGGAAACTGTACTGGACATATATTCCTGACCCACCTTTGCTTGCCTATACCCCTGATGGGACAAATGGTCTTGCCTTAAGATTTTAGACCCTGTGGAACAGAGAATCAAAAAGAGAAGTTATAATGACTCTTATATTTTTCTTAAATGTGACTAGTTATTTGGACTCAATCATGGACTGGTCTAGAAATCAATCCAATATTGGAAATTATAGTCTTCATTTGGAAGGCTGGTTCTGGACATTTTCAGAAACATATTTGGAAGTTAGCTGCAGTTCTATATGTTATGTTAGCAAGAGATAAAGTTGGGACAGGATCTGGATTTCAAACAAGTATTAGTACATGTGTTAAGGTTCTTTTAATTGCCAAGTTAAAATTACTTTTGTTTCTTCTTCGGTATTTAATGTAAGTTCCATTGATTGTACACTTTCTAACTGTGCTAGTGTGTTGAAACATGGCATGTCTGTTATGGAGGTCTATCAACCAACTTTTGTTTTATTGCCCTGAGTGTTACAGAACCTTGGCATTCTGAAAAAAGCTTGCAAGTACTGGAAGAAGTGAGTTAGGCTTTAAGCAGAAGCAAGAGGGTAGCGGGCTTGATTATTGCTGGTATAACAGCTTTAATTACATTAATTTCTAGCACCTCTGCTTATGCAAATGCTGTGACACAAGAAGTTAAGACAGCTACTTTTGTTAGTCATTTAGCAAAAATGTTACTAATGTGTTGAGTATACAAGAGGATTTAGATAGGTGCTGGAACAACGGATTGATGCTCTTTATCCTATTCAAATCATTGGAAGGAGGTTCAGAGTTTAAGAGTAAGGAGCCATCTTGAGTTTCATGCCAAATACCACTGGATTTGTGTGACTTCTAAAATTTACAATGATTGTCATTATAATTAGGAAAAAGTTTAAAGACACTTGAAGTTTACTTGGCATAATTCTAATACCTCTCTGGATGTTTTAATTTTGCATAGTGAGCTAATGAATTTAAAGAATGCTGCTCTGTTGAGAGTTGATGTGGCAGATACTGCTGATAAAATTACCCATGTCCTGAGAGCAGTGTTTCTATTTTGGTCAAGCTTCAAGAATGGTATATATAGGTTGATCATGTTAGCCCTTTTTGTCCTGGGAATACTTTTATTCCTGCCCATCGTGTTAAAGCTTGTCTTTAACAACATCAACATGTTGGCAGCCAAAGTACATGGCTTGAAAATGAAAATGGACACCCAGACAGAGTTATTAATTTAACAGTTTGGCAAGCCAAGGACAGATAAGGAAGGAATTCTTGTCACAATGACCTAAGACAGATTTATGAAATAAAAACCTAAGACAGTTTTATGAAATAAAAAAAGGGGTAGATGTGGATAGCTTTGGGGGCTGCTTGGCAGGAATCTGTCATTCTCCAATAACAATGGTCACAATGACCTAAGACAGGTTTATGAAATAAAACAAGAGGTTGCTGTGGATAGCTTTGGGAATATGTCATTGGCTAATGACAAGGAAGTGGGCTTCATGCAGGAATCTGACATTAGGCTAGAACAAAGAAGTAATTTCAGGCAGGAATCCAAATCTTAGGCTAGAACAAAGAAGTAGGCTTCAGACATGAAAATGACTTTGGGCTAGGACAGGGAAGTTGGCTCAGATATTTTGGTCATCCTGATAAGCCCTTAGAAATAGTGATCATGGGAGTGATCATGGAACTTTGTTTATTGCCTTGCTTGTTCTTTTGACTATTTGTGTTTATTGTCATGCTTGTTCCTTGACTATTTGCATCTATTGTATTGCTAGTTCATCAACCTAGAACTGACCTTAATACTTGCTGGGAGCCAGCTCCAGCTTGGTGGGAAGAGAAGGTGATCTTCTTTCTTCTCCTCCAGTTGGTTCTTCTTGAGGCAGCCAAGGGGGATGGGAATTGGAAGAGCGTCGGCGTGGGTAAGACTTGGTCTTATGAGATTCGGGGTAAAGCCTTGGGCTTTATGAGATTCAGGGTAAGACTTTGGTCTTACGAGATATTTAGGGTTGCTGTTTAATAAAATCTTTCTTGTCTACGTTACTAAAGTTTACTTACTAAGCTACTGTAGCTGACTTGCTATCTGTTTGTTCCTCTGAGGCCAGAAACTGCAGTTTCTGGGTACACTTAGCATCTCATCCCAAGGACATCAGAGGATTAGGCAATGCCTTAGTACTCTCTCTGCAGGCACTGCCAGACTCTAACTTAGGTCTGTTGGTTTGAGGTCGCAGGAAGAAAAGACACTTAAAGAAGTTATTGTAGTTTATTACTAAGTGTAAAAAGTTTCCTATGAAAGCTATCCAAGAGACAAAGTGAAAAGGTCCTAAGTGGGGAAAGGGAAAAAATTCTAAAAAAGGAAAAATTCTAAGTGGAGAGATTCTAAGCAGGGAAGAAAGAAGAGGTGAGAGAGGGGAGAGAGAGAGAAAGAGACAGAGAGAGAGAGAGAGAGAGAGAGAGAGAGAGAGAGAGAGCCATAAAGAGTGGGAGAGAGAAAGTGAGCTGCTAACGAATGTCCCTTTGTCTTATACATCATTCAGAGTACCTGATCACATGTTACAAAGTTCATCACAAGTTCACACCTAAATTCAAATCATAAATTGAAACAGAAGTTTACAACAGATAAAGTTTGTATGCATATCCATTAGGAGTAAGTATCTGGCTAAACATACACCACCTGTCTAGCTCCACAGGTTCTCTGAAGGTTTAAAACTATAACTAAGAAATCAGTGAAGTTTTGTATAGGTAAACCCAGGCAATATTTTCTCTTCTGTCCTAGCACCTATAATAAATCATGAGTTCCCTTTGAATGACCTTTGGTTAATTGTTTTACAACCACCTTGGAATGTGCTCTGAGCAGGAGAGAGTTGGTTACTATCTAAGGGCAAAATAACTGATGACACTCGGGAGACTGGCAGAGTTTTCATTGCAATTTTGACTATCAGAAAGGGACTCAATAGCAGTCCCACTATAAAAGAGCTTAATAATCATTGATATAATTTTAGGAATTCTTATAGGATCATCATTAAGACTTAAGAAGTCATCTATCTGTCTATATAGCATTACTACAAGACAGTACATCTTCGTGGGTCTGCAGAGATCTGCTCCAAAGGGATGTGCTATTGCTTAGTGATTGTTACATATGTTTAATAATAATAATAATTAATAATAATAGGAAAAGCATATTAATAGCAGGATCTTTCCTAAAATACATCCGCCACAGCCTTGCTGAATGGGGCACACTTGTCGCAGATTATATAATAATCTGAGGCAAGCATTTCAGGATGATCAACTGTTAATTATTAGTTTGTCCCATTATGGCTCCTGACAAATACTTGCATGTAATTAAAATGGTATAAAAGAAAAAGGAGGAGGAGGGATAGGATAGGGAGTTTGTGGGGAGTGGATGGGGAAAGGGGATGATATCTGAAATGTAAATAAATAGAATATCCAATAAAAAAGTATAATTAAAAAAATCTAAAACCACCACATTAGGGGAGAATAGTGGTTATTGAGTACTTACAGAAATAGAGATATATTGGTTAAAGGACTCCAACTCTTAATTACAAAAGAAATCTTTGGGCCTAAGTACAACATGTAATGTTAGTTAATAATAAAGCATTTTTATCTGTAATTTGATGAGAGCAGATTTTTAAATTTTCTCACTAAGATGAACTATTAAAACCAATGGATGGTAATGTATGTTAAATATTCAGGATGGTAAACCCTTTACACAGTACTCATATATTCAAATTCTACTGTATACATAAAATATATAAAATTTTTATGTGCTAATTTAAAACCTTATATTAAATATTAATATTCTGCCAGGAGGAACAGAGAAACCCTGTCTTCAAAAATCAAAACACACACACAGAAAAAAAAAAAAAGAAAAAAAAGAAAAAGAAAGAAAACATTCTTAGATGAAGATGAAATAAAGACTATTTGAGATTTTAAAAAAGCAGAAGTTAACTAACAGAGGGCTGCCAGCAATATTACACCCCTCATCACATCTAAATTAAGCATTACATCAAGTTTATTTATTAATATAAATTTTAAAAAATTATCACTAGTTGCTATACTATTATAGAAGAACGAAGGTAATACATAAAGATGGAGTGAATAACACAGCATTTGTAAAAATATGTCACCTCCAACCAAGCTCTGGTTCTCAGGGGACAACTATACTAATTATGATGCAAATAAACCATGAAAGGTTCCCCCTTTTTTTTGGATTAGCCAATTATGAACAATCTCGATGCTTTTTGGTTAGGGGTCCTGCGGGAATATTTGAAACAGTACCTTGTGCAAATGCTTGATCTGGATTCCTGCCTCCATGTTGGTAGGTTCAGCCTCATAACAGTTATGCACTACGGGGAAGCACTTTGTCTCATCTGTAGTCTTTCTAATTTTTGATTTGCCAAACCAATATGAGCGCTACAGAACAAGATAGGAGATCGTTAACCAAAATAAGTATAAATACCTTTTGTCTTAATTTGCTGTTTCTAAAAATTTAAATCATGCGAAACAAATAAGAGTTTGTTGTTAATCTTTTACTCAGTGCTTGGATTAGGATAAAGAGCTCATTATACTATGTTCTTTTTATTAATGAATAAATAAAAAATAATAACAACTTTTTATGAAAGAGAGAAAAAGAACATAAAGTTGGGTTTTCTGTAGGGAGATGTGGAGGGTCTGGGAAATGTGGACAAGGAAAACATGATTAAAACATACAGAATAAAAAAATAAGTTAAAAAAAGGACTGGACTCTGAATAGATCTATCATAAAGGGAATCATAGATCAATATCATGCCTACAAAAACTAGACTAGATGGTTTCAGTAGAGAATTTTCTCAAACATTTAAACAAAAATTAACAGTTTTTATTCAACTCTTGAAAAAAACATAAGGGAATACCTCCTAATTCATTGTGAGATTGGCATCACCCTAACATACAAATCAGACAAATTACACATCTTATAATATAGATGCAAAACTCTTTAATGCCAGCAAGCTGAATTCACTAGATTATTAAAATGATTATATACCATTCCAAAGTGAAATGCATTGCAGGAATGGTTCCAAATACTATAATCAATCACTGTAGTATCACACTAATCATAGGCTCATTTCAATTCATGCATGATAAAAATCTTAGAAATCTAGAAACATAAAAGTGTTTTCATGAAAAAAGAAAAACTACCTAAACTTATAGCTAACAATACTCAATGATGAAAGATTGAAAACTTTGTGTTTTAAACCATGAGCAAGCCTGCAAGGTCAGCCTGAAAGAGGGGACACACTGGAGGCAGGTTGGAGGCACTGCCATGACCTGTGCAAACGAGGGAGAGGTTGCCTTCCAGAAGAACATAAAGAGGCAGTATGACTCAGGTAAGGGAAAGCACTGAGATGACGGGTTTCTGCTGCTGGCTATAAGCAGTGGGACTCCAGATCATGCAGCAGAAGCAGAAAAAGGCAACCGAGAGGCAGGAACCCAAGCAGCTTTGTAGCTTCATGTCTACTGCACTTGTGTGCCTAAGCCAGTCCCACAGTGGTTGAGTTTCTCCCTGTAGCACTTTGTTTTTTGTTTTCTTTTCAGGAGGAATTGCATGGACAAAGGGCAGACATGGAGGGATGGGAATGAGTGGGATTGGGGAACATGATCTGAAATTCACAAAGAATCAATAAAAAAGAGGGAATACAATGAAGAGTAAAGGACAATTTGCAGAATGGAAGAGAATATTTACAAACCATATCAAAGAAGGGTTTAGCACATTAGATACATAGGAAAGCAAATAACAATTACTGAATGGGCATAAGACTTGCATATATGTTTCTATAAACAAGGCATTTAAAGGCCAATAAGCACATAAATGTCATACCTATGATTTGTTATCAGGAAATTCAATTAAATGTCACATAAAACCTATGAGGGGAACTACCATAAAAGGAATGTATGAGTGAGGGAATGGGAGCTTTGTACTTTACTAGGAGGGCTGACAAAAATGGGATGATCTGTTAGTTTCCAAAATCTTAAACCCAGACGTGCCACTAGAACTAACAATTTTATTCCTAGCTATATACTCAAAATAGTTAAAAAGTCCCATCCTCAACATAATACAATAAATATGTCCTCCAGTGAGATATGCAATATTATGCAGCCTATAAGAGGATGAATAGAGATGACTTTTAAAACCGTAAGTGCTATGACTATAGCTCAAAGATGTAGTCCCTTAGATTAGAGGGTTGAGAACCAAAGGGAACTCACACAAGATCAATGTGTGGTGCTTTATTAGATTCTAAAAGAGAGAGAACTAAATAATTTCTGTATCTAAACTTCAGCACTTGGTCCCTTTCATGAATAAATCTGAAAAACTACTTATAGAAGCATCTACTAATAGGTAATTATTATGACTGCATTTTTATACCCTTTGAGTGAATAAATTCATAGAAAAAGCAAGCAAATTAGAGGTGCTTGAAATAAAAAAAAAGACAAACAAACAAGGGTATGATTTCCTTTTAGATCACAGTTTTAGTTCTCTAGGATGAAAACCTGTGAGCTGTGGGGTCAAGTCTGTGACTGTACACTGTGAATATTCTAAGTATTAGTGACTTCATTTTAAAATTGCTAATTTTATGTCATATGTATTTTACTAAAAAAGTGAAGATTTCTGTGAACTAGGAAACAGCTTGGCTTGGTTTACTCTTCCTGTAGAACAAAGCTATAATATATTTTCAGGTCTAATACTCTGTAGCCAAATTATCTACAGTTTTAATCTCCAGTATTAAAAAAAAAAACACAGTAGTTTTTCAAGGTAGAAGGACTGAACCGAATTTTAGAGACTGAGCCTGGAGCCCTGGCTTATCACACTTGGCCATGGTGTCTCCACTGTGACCACACAATCACTATAAGGAAATCTGAGGGATAAGAAGCAGGCACTTTTCTACTTCATACAAATAACTGGTTAGCCCCCAAAAGGGACCAAGTGTTGAAGCTTAGATACAGGAGTTATTTAGTTCTATCTTTGCTAGAATCTATTAAAATACCTCGTTTTAATCTGGTGTGAGTTCCCTTTGGTTCTCAACTCTCTAATCTAAGGGACTAATTATATTGTCAGGCTCCAGAGGGGTCATAGCACTTACAATTTTAGAAGTTTCAGTGTCCTAGTCATACATATTATGCAACTATATACACAACAGAATTTATGGCACATCAAGAAATGCATAGTGAGCCGGGCAGTGGTGGTGCACACCTTTAATCCCAGCACTTGGGAGGCAGAGCCAGGCGGATTTCTGAGTCAGAGGCTAGCCTGGTCTACAGAGTGAGTTCCAGGACAGCCAGGGCTACACAGGGAAACCCTGTCTCAAACAAACAAACAAACAAACAAAACAAACAAACAAAGAAATGCATAGTGACTCAGTATTCTGGTATATAGATTAGGATGATCTATATTTGGCTTTTAAATTTGATTACATTTATGAAGTAAGTTTACAAAGTCTATGAGCATTTGGAATAACAGCAACATTAAAACCCACCATAATGGGAGGTGGGAGGATCAAAAAGAGTTGAAGGAGAGGAAACCATCTATAATCAGAAAATATTGTATGAAAAAAATCTATTTTCAGTAAAAGAAAAATAGAAACAAAGAAAAACTCACCATAAGGAAAAAGTACCATGGTTGAGCCACACCACACTGTCCTGGAAAGACAGCTTCTACATACCAGGTAACCAGGCTGTATAAGAAAGCATCAAACAAAAGCATTCCAAGCATATAGCCAAAGTTGAGGTTATCCTCAAGATTGGCTGGTGTCCAAAGGTTGTGCCATTTAACACCAATCTCTGAAATAAAAGGGAGACATTGGGCATGGGTGAAATTTCTGCAACTTAGTACTCTATACTGTGAGTTACCTCTCAGCTGTAGCCCTTAGCAATTAGATTACTACAGAACAAGGTGGTTACATTTCTCCTTTTTTCCTTCAAAACCTTTAAAAACAATTGGGAATGATTTAAATAGAATGAATAACTGAAACAAACAAAGAACAGTCCAAGAACAAGGAAGGAGCAGACTTATTAGAAGCTGGGTTCTTTCCCCTACAGAGTTTCTTTCCTCCCAGAGAAACAAGCACAAGAATGCCCAAATGTGGAAAATACATTCTCCAGTGCTGAAGTTTACAGACTACCAAACAGAAGAAACCAAGGAGTTCTGCTGAGTGATGCGTAGATGGGACTTCAAAAAGAAAGTCAGCAAAGGAGGAAAAGAAACGCTTTTCCTCTCCTGTGTCCGTAAGAGGGGAAGGACAAGGGTTTGCAGAGCATGCCCCAAGAATCACAACTTAAAAAAGACATTTCAGGACGCTTGTCTGTTCTTCACCTTTGCCTTTTTCCCCTCAACAACAGCCATGAACACTAGATATTTTTAAAACAAGGTTAATAATATGAAAAAATATCCTGTGGAAACAAAAATGATTATCAAAATTTAATCTATTTTGAAAGGTAATAAACAATAAATTACAAGTCACAGAAAAATAGGAATCAAAATATACACCACAGGAAATTTTCTGTAAGCTCCAGTCCTCCTGCTTCAAACAAAATAAGAATTCCTGAAATATAAAGTTTATAACAGAGAAAAGAGACAATAACTAATGTAAAATTAATAAGCCTGATGAAAATAAATAGGAAACTAAATGGTTGTGCTCTTCCACAATAAACCAATGGAAATAAGGACCTAGATGAGGTAACATGGATTGCTAATGTTAATGTTACATTTATATTTGTAGCTACAAATAAATAACATGCACAGTCATCTGATTGGCTACTTATTGGAAAGTACTTTTATTGGATATTTTATTTATTTACATTTCAAATATTATCCCCTTTCTCGGTTTCCCCCACATCAAACCCCCCTATAACATTGCCCCTTCCCCTGCTTCTGTGAGCATGGTATCCCACCCACCCTTCACCCCCCCTCCTGGAATTCCCCTATACTGGGACATCGAGCCTTCACAGGTCCAAGGGCCTCTCATCCCATTAATGTCCAACAAGGCCATCATCTGTTACATATGCAGATGGCGCCATGGGTCCCTCCATGTGTACTCTTTGGTTGGTGGTTTAGTCCCTAGGAGCTCTGGGGTATCTGGCTATTTGATACTGTTGTTCATCCTATGAGGTTGCAAACCCCTTCAGCTCCTTCAGTCCTTTCTCTAACTCCTCCGCTGGAGACTTTGTGCTGAGTCCAATGGTTGTCTTCAAGCATCTGCCTCTGTATATATTAGGCTCTGGCAGAGCCTCTCAGGAGACAGCTATATCAAGCTCCTGTCAGCAAGCACTTCTTGGTATCCACAACAGTGTCTGGGTTTAGTGACTGTATATGGGATGGATCCCCAGGTGGGGCAGTCTCTGGATGGCTTTTCCTTCAGTCTCTGCTCCATACTCTGTATTTCCTCCCAAGAGTAATTTGTCCCCCCTTCTAAGAAGGATGGAAGCATTGATCCACACTTTGGTCTTTCTCCTTCTTGAGCTTCACTCCACTTATCAGTGAGTGCATACCATGTGTGTTCTTTTGTGACTGGCTTACCTCACTCAGGATGATATTTTCTAGTTTCATCCATTTGCCTAAGAATTTCATGAACTCATTGGTTTAATAGCTGAGCAGTACTCCATTTTTAGTTTCCTGTAAGATTTTTTTTTTTTACAGTGACTCATCTGTTAAAGATTAATTGGCATTTTTTCAACTTGTGGTTTGTCCTTCTCAATCTTTTGAGTTACTCTCTGAAGCACAGTTTTTATTTTTATACATTGCCTTTATGTGTCTTAGCCCAGGCTGGCCAGAAATTCCCAAAGCCTTGAACATGGAGCAAGCATTTTCACCATTGCACTTTCCAGAAGGCACACGCCGCTGCTTTTGACTAGAGCAGTTTTCATATTGGAAAACAACAATGTGTTTTTCCTTTCAGTGTACCCTAAGAAACCATTCCTAACCCAAACTTACAGAAGCTTTTATCTTCACTGAAGAATTTTTAAGTTTTCCCTCTTACCTGTAGGCCTGTGCTTTCAAAATAATTTTACACAGCTTTATTCATGACCATCTTTAAAATTAGTTATTAAATAAAAATAATAGACCTTAGCATGGTTAAGCATATAGCTCCATATATATCATGTGGAGCACATTCACAGTGTAGTGCAGTGCAGTGCAGTGCAGTGCAGTGCAGTATGCCTGCACCACTGCATCCACCTCAGAAAATGCCCAGGGTGCCCATCTAATAACTCCCAGCCACTGCCAGGTCACCCCTCCCTGTCCTGTCCTTAGCATACTCTCTCCTCATGGTAATCACCATTCTCTTTCCGGTTTCTGAATTTGAGTACCTTAAGTGCCTGGTACTCGTGGACTCTGTGTGTGAGTGTGTCGTGCAGTGCTCGCGCCTAGGGATCACAGGCTGATGCTGCAGGATACCGGGGTCGGCGGCGGCTGGCGTCAGCTCCAAGCCGGGCCAGCGGGCCAGCGGGGGAACAGACTCAGGGGTCGGGGGCGTGGAAGGAGCCAGCCGAGCCGGCCCAGGGCCTTCAGCAGCCGACCGGGCGGGGCTCGCTCCACAGCAGCCTCTGGTCACCCGAAAACCGGAGCGGGACCTCCGTCCCAGCCCCCAAAAGCGAGAAAGTGTTGTCAGCTCTTTTAGTTTTCTCCTTCCGGGAGTCGCTCATGAGAGCCCACGGAAGAAAAGTGTTTCAGCCTTTCAGTTCAGCTCGCTCTTCCCGCTGAGGAGAGGGGAGAGTGTTGTCTTTTGAAGTGTGCGACTGGCGACTGGCGAGGGATCGAGAAAACGCTCCGACAGCAGGAGACCTTGCACCGAACAGCAGTAGTCGTTTAATTTGAGCTCTGGAATTATATATATACGGTTTCGGGGAAAGAACAGGTGGCCCCTATTGGTTTGGCTTTGGTGTTTGAGGATGCCTTATTTGCATGGAGGTGCTATCCTACGTGATAAGGGTCACGGGTCTCTTTGTGGGAAGCGGAAGCTAAGAGGGCCATCAGCGTGGGAAATCTGAAGCAACCTTCCATCCTGTGACCCTTTTCAGGCCGAGGTTTCCGAGGCTTCGAAGATTTCTACCAAGCTTTCTGGCTTTCTCATAGCCCACTGTCCCACATGAGTGTATGTGTGTGAGTGTAAGTGTGTGTGAAATACCATAAGGTTTGTATCAGGTATCAGAGTTTCCTTCCTTTGTAAGGACAAATAGTACTTTAGTGTATGTTGTATGTATGTTGTATGTATCTTGTTACCTACTCATCCAGCCGTGGGTACCTCAGTTGTTCCCACCCTGGAGCTCCTGACTATGCTGTGAACATGTATATACAAATATCCCTAGGATCCCCGCTTTCAGTCTTAGTGTACACGCAGCAGATTGTATGTCATAAGTTAATTGCTTTTACTAGTAGGCACTGCCGTAATTTCCATAGCAGCCACACTATTTTATGTTCTGCCAGCAGTGCACAGAGATTAGAACTGCCTGTGTCCTGTGAATCTTACTGCTTTTTAGTGGCCATTCTACTAGGCGTTAAGATCTACCAGTGCTTCTGCTTCCTAGTTCCCAACTACTGATGTCATGTGGTCTATATGCTTGGTGGCCTTCTTTATATATCGGTTGAAGAAATCTTTTTAGGTCCTTTGCCCATTAATAGTTGGGTTGTTTACTCTGGTTGAATTTTTGGTAGTCATAGCCACAAAAGCATTGACCCACCAAACCCAAGGGAGCTGACTATAGCTTGCCCTGGGAATTTTAGCTTTTTGCTCTTAGCTTTGCCCTTTGATGCATTTTGAGTTAATCTTTGTGTGTGATGTAAGGTCTGACTTTTTACTCCTCACATGTGGATATCTAGCTTTGAACGCTGCCTTTTGGTGGGAAAACATCCCACTATGCATGGTGGGGATATCTCTAAGCCCAGTCTCTCCTGTGGCTTCTGTCTGCCTTCATGCAATGCCACTGCTTTGATTACTAGAGAATTATAAGAAAAATTGGAAATCAGAAAGTGTTTGTTCTGAAATAAAAATCTGAAATCAGAAAGTGTTTGTTCTAAAAATAAAAACTTGAAATCACAAAAATAGAACAGCAAAATAGGACAATATTAACATATTAAGAATTACATGCACTACTATGTTCATAGCAGCCTTATTTATAATAGCCAGAAGTTGGAAGGAACTCAGATGTCCCTCAACAGAAGAATGGATACAGAAAATGTATGGAGTACTACACAATGGAGTATTAAAACCAATGACTTCATGAAATTCTTAGGCAAATGGATGGAACTGGAAAATATCATCCTGAATGAAGTAACCTAGTCACAAAAGAACACACATAGTATGTACTCACTGATGAGTGGATATTAGGCAAAAAGCTCATAACACTCATGATACAACTCACAGACCATATGTGAAGCTCAAGAAGAAGGAAGATCAAAGTGTGGATGCTTCAGTCCTGCTTAGAAGGGTGAACAAAATAATCATGGGAGGTAGAGAGAGAGAGTGACCTGGGAGGTAGAGAGGAGGATGAGGGACAGGGGAGAGGAAGGGAAAAGGGGGGACAGGATCAGATGTGGGAGGAGACTGTGAGAAGTACAGAGGGTCAGGAAATTGACTGGATGTATGTAGCAGTGGGGAATGGGGAACTGGGGGTAGTCACTAGAAAGTCCCAGATGCCAGGCAATGAAGAGGTTCCTAGGACCCAATGGGGATGACATTAGCTCAAATACCCAACAAAAGAGAGAGAGAATCTGATGAGACCATATGCAGAGGTTAGACATGGCCTCCAGTTGAGGGATAGGGCCACTTACCCACTACAAAATGTTTAACCCAGAATTGCCTCTGTCTAAAGGAAATGCAGGGACAACGAGTGGATCAGAGACTGAAGGAAAGGACAACCAGAGACCGCCCCACCTAGGGATCCATCCCATCTGCAGACACCAAACCCTGATACTATTGCAGATGCCAAGAAGTGCTTGCTGATAGAAGCCTGGTATAGCTGTCCCCTGAGAGGCTCTCTCAGAGCCTGACAAATACAGATGGGGATGCTCTCATCCAACCATCAGACTGAGCATGGGGATCCAATGAAGGAGTTAGGGGAAGAACTGAAGGAGCTGAAGGGGTTTGAAACCTTAAAGAAAGAACAACAATATCAACCAACTAGACCCCCCCCAGAGTTCCCAGGGACTAACCACCAACCAAAGAGTACACATGGAGGGACCTATGGATCCAGCTGCATATGTAGTAGAGGACTGCCTTATCTGGCATCAATGGGAGGGGAGCCCCTTGGTCCTGCAGAGGCTCGATGCCCTAGCATATGGGAATGCTAGGGCAGCGGTGAGGTGGGAATGGGTGGGTGGGTGGGGAGCAGAAGCAGGGGGAGGGAGATGTGATAGAGGGTTTTCAGAGGGGAAACTGGGAAGGAGGATAACATTTGAAATGTAAATAAATAAAATAATCAATAAAAAAAATTGGTGTGTGGTTGGTGTGTGACTCCTTACACTCCCTACACGACAGTGGCAGAGGCATGTGGATCTCTGTGGGTCTAAGATCAGCCTGGCTTACACAGTAAGTTTTAGGACATCCAGAAATAATAGTGATACCCTATGTCAGAAAACAAAACCAAACAAACACAACCAACCAACCAAACGAAACCAAACAACCCCTCCAAACCTGAAAACTAGTATCAAGTCATAAAATTCTTGTGATATTGGTATTAAAAGACTCTTTTTGTTTGTTTGTTTGTTTGTTTGTTTGTTTTTTGAGACATGGTTTCTCTGTATAGCCCTGGCTGTCCTGGAACTCACTCTAGACCAGGCTGGCCTCTAACTCAGAAATCCGCCTGCCTCTGCCTCCCAAGTGCTGGGATTAAAGGCATGCACCACCACTGCCTGGCCCCAGTATTAAAAGACTCTTAAAAAAGATCAGTATATTATAAGGAGAATCACCTATTTGATACGGTATTGTAATATAAATAAAATTTAAGCTATGTCAGTATTTTATGAGACAGAACTTCTATAGCTTAGACATTTTAAAAATAATTCAGAATCATACTATGTTGTCCAGGATAGTCTTAAACTCTTGGATTCAAGTTTCATCTCAACCTGCTAAGTAGATGGGATGTAGATATTGTCTCCTTGCTCAGGGTAAGTTGTCAGCACTTTTACAAGTAGGCATTTATTTTTCAGATTAATATGCTCATGTGAGCACACCTACAAACCATGAGCCACCTAAACCTGGACAAGAAATGGTTGATTATGGGCAAATACTAAACAATGTTACAAAAGAATAAAAGTATAGCTTTGCACGGGGAAAGTGTCATGATTTTAATTTTTTAAAGAATAAAAATAATAGAAGTTCTAAAATGATTTTATTTGACACTGTAAGTTCATAAAAAATATGGAACAATTTGAGCTTTTCCTTTTCTTTAAAATTTTTTTTTACTCATTCTTTGTTAATTTCATACACAAATACAGCACTTAGGATATATCCACTCCTTGTTCCCCATCCCCAACTTATTCGACTTCCTCCCCATCCCTCTCTTAACTTAAAAAAAAAAAAACTCTTGAATCCAACTAGTGTTATCTGTACATACATGTGTGTAGGGCCACATGGAAAATTAACCATGGGTACAGTGCTCAAGAAGCTAACTCCTCTCCCCACATCCCCACCCATTAACTGCCAATAGCTTACCAGCTAGGTGTGGAAGCTTTATATTTTTCATATTTTACATAACAACATACAATAAGCAAATTTGTGAGAAATATAACATTTTCTTACCTTCTCATCTCTTATTTACCCAGTTTTCTAAGAATTGAATCAGCAATACCAATACTCACCTTGTATTTCCAACTTGATTAAAATATTAATCCCCAGTGCCAAAGCAACATTTGCACTCAGACAGGCAGCTATCTTGGTAGTAAGGTCCAACATTCCATAGTATTCAGAGATGAAGTTATAGGGAAAGAAACTGGCAAAAAATAGGAGGTTTCCAGCAGAAGCAGCCAAACGAGCTTCAAATAAGAAATTACAATTTACTTTTTATGCTAAAACAGTTAACAAAGTTGAGTATACTTATATTATGTTCTCAAAAAGTTACTACGTTTCCAGTCTTATCTATGAAACTAGACACAATAACCGAACATGTAGATAATTACTAAATACTGGATGTTGTTAATCTCCTAAGCATGGGATTTTGTTATGCGAAACCTGGTCTTTTCTGAAGAGAAATGGAGAGAGAGTGGATCTTAGGAAAAGGGGAGGCACAGGGAAACTAGAAGGAGAGGAAGGAGGGGAAACTGTGGTCAAGATGTATTGTATGAAAAAAAATTAAAAATAAAGAAAAATAATTCTCATCAAAATATTAATAGGACATAAAATCAGTGTTAGTGAAGAAAGCAAAGCAAAACAAAACAAACACCAAAAAACTGCAGGGTACTACTTCCTAACATCACTGTCACTCAGGGAAGGCAGCAGCATACTGAATGGGGAAAATTTTTTGATCAGCTGCACATCCAATAGAGAACTAACATCCAAAATATATGAAAAACTAAAAAACTAGGTATCAAGAAAACAAATAAAGTATAGATCTAAACAGAATTCTCAAAAGAGGAGGAACCTCAAATGGTCAAGAAACACTGAAAATTATGTTTCGCATACCTAACCTTTAGGGAAATGCAAAATAAAACTATTTTGAGATTACATCTTAAACCTGTCAAAATGGCTAAGATCAATAAAACAAGTGACAACTCATGCTAGTGAGGATACAGAGTAAGGGGAATACTCATCCACTGCTGGCGGGAGTATAAACATGTGGAGGTATAAACATGGTGGAAATCAGGTGGTAACAGATCTACCTCAAGATCCAGCGGTTCCACTCTTAGGTATATACCCAAAGGATCTTCTTCCTACCACTAGGGCACTTGCTCAACCACATTCATTGCTTTTCTGAATAACCAGAAATCAGAAACAACACAGATGTCCCTCAACACATGGGTGGATAAAGGAAATCTGCTATTTTTACAAAAGTGGAATATTACTCTTAGCAACAGCAACAAAAAGAAAGAAAAAGAGAAAGGAAGAAAGGAAGGAAAGATGGAAGGAAGGAAGAAAGAAAAGAAGAAAGAAAGAAATTCGCAGGTAAATGGATGGAACTAGAAAACACTATCCTAAGTGAAGAAACTTACACCCAGAAACGCGAAATTGGTATATATTTGCATATATGTGGATATTATTAGCTAAAAAGTTATTAATACACAGACTAAAATCCATAGATACCAAACAGGCTAGACATAGAGTAATGGAGTAAGGAATACAGATAGATCTCACTAAGAAAGGGAAATAAAATAGACAATTATATATGGGGCTGGGGGATTGGAATGGAAGATCAAGTGAAGAGGAAATAGGAATGAAGAGGGAGATAAAGGAGGGAATATGAGGAAAGACAGCCAAAAGTAAGGGGCATTTGAGGGGTAGTATAAAAACCTTATTCAGTGGAAGCTTTCTAAAGTACATACATATATGAAGGTTATAGTCCCTGAGCAGCACACCACAAAATCCACTGCACCACAAAAGCTGCCAAAGTGGCAGCAGGCCCCTCTTTCCCACCCCAGCCTACTTCCACAGCAAAATGCCCTACAGGAGCTGTCCAAAATGGCAGCTCATGTCAAAAGTGTGGCAGCACGACATGTCAGCCTGCAGCCTTCACAGGAGCTGTAAGAACTGTTTCCCCGGCCTCAGCAAGAGGAACCTCTTCAGGAGCTGTCTATGGTGGCCACATCTTTCTGGCCCCAGCCTACTGACAGCATGAGAAGCTGTCCGTGGTGGCTACAATTTCTTTCCTGCGTCAGTTTATAGCTTTCATGAACCATCACTGGAGAAGCTGTTCCACGGGAGCTGTCCACAGTGGTAGCACCTCCCCTCCATCCTTACCCCGACCCCCACCACCTACACCAGCAGCCCCACAGAAATGGCGCCTCAGCAAAATTGGGCTGCAGTGGGAAGGATTTCCTACCCTAACCAGTAGACCTGATACAGCGAAAAGGAGGTGAAAAAATGTCATCAATCCCCAAACAGGAAAACTCACCAATCCCAGTGTCCCCTCCAGCCCCAGCTCAGGACTTGAAATCCCACCAATACTCATTCTGGAAATCTCTGCCCGAGAAGCTCTGCACCCTCAGAAATTCTATATAAGCACTGCTCCTTTGTCCAGTTTCCTGCTGTCCCCTCCCAGGAGTAGAGGGAAGCCATCCCTGGATTTGCCTCTCCATATCTTGGACCCTCTGATACATCTCTTTCATGAGATTTCCTGGTGTGACTCTCTCATGGGAAGAAGGCAAGAAAAAAAAAAAGAAGTAATAAAGAGAAGTGAAGAGAAGGAGCAGAGGCTAAGGCTCCTGAGCTCCTCAGCTCAGCTACGGACAGCTAGCTCCCCTTGGAACTGCGATGCCTCAGCTGAGAAGGCTTCCTCTTAGAGCTATGTGGTTCCTGAGCTCCTGTGTCTCAGGATACCCTTCCCTTGGGACACTGTCCCACCTCAGAGCTGTGTGGTTCCCGAGCCCCCATTTTTCAAGATGCCCTTTCATAGAATACCTTCTCCCATCAGAGCTGTATGGTTCCTAGGCTTCCAAGTACCAGGATATCTCCCATCTGAGCAAAAACACTTACAAAGGTAATCTAAACCAAATCACAAAAGATAATGGGGAGACAGTCCCAGTTGGACATCTCTTGTCAATAAATGAAGTTTCTAGAACCACTAAATGAAGATTGTAAACCAAGACTGGGTTACATCTAATTAAGTTGTTGGTCAAAGGGGTTCAGCAAGAACTTTCAAACAATCTAGACTGTTGCCAAGACTATAACAGATAGCAAGGCTCATGGCTAAGACAACATCCACACAGCTTACTGAACAGGAAAAGTCAAGCTGGTGCCTATAGAGCCTTCAACCCTACATGCTTGTGTCTTTGCCACAGGAAAGTACTTTGCAGGCTACAAATGGAGAAACAAACACTAACCCAGCTACAATCTCTTAACTACAATGCTGTCCTGCCTGCAAGATATGCTAGTGGCAATTGTGTCACAAAGCTTATGAGGATATCCAATCAATATCTGATTTGATTCACTCTACCATATGAAACCCATATTCGACATTGGTTGACCAAGAATCCAAGACTAGATGGCACAGGGATCTAGGACAAATCCAAATACTACTCTTTTTTTTTTTAAAGTAGAAAAAAAATGACTCCTAATGACACTCTGCTATACTCAGAGATTAGTGCCTTCCTTGCTCAGCCATCATCAGAAAAGCTTCCTCCTGCAGCAGGTGGGAACAAATACATGTTGAGCCCCATTTCAGCCCTGGTTTGGGCCTTGTGGACAAACCTGAGCCTAGCTCGAGTCTCTGAGGCCTTGTGGGAGAGTCTAAGCCTGGCTAGTTTTGAGATCCGTCTCAGTCACTTCCATACGGGGGCGACTCAACAAGACCTTTTTGGCCCTGCCTCTGTCCTGCTGTTGCTGATGCAGAGCTTTGCCATTGTCCCTGTCAGTCACCCTATACCCTCCATCACCCTTCCCCACCCCCTACATCATCTCACCCCACCAAAACTCCTCCTCCTTATCCTCTGAGTGTATAAGTGAGAGGCTGATGCAATAAAGTTGAGTTCCTGCTTTGACAAGGCTCCGAACCCCGTGTGTTTCTTTTGGGCCATCGACACTCACCATCCCGCTCAACCCCAGAGAGACCCGGCAGGACCAGGACTGCTCGCCTGGACCGCTCGCCTGGACCTGGCGGCAAGGAGCCAACAAATACAGAGGCCAACAGACAGACATTTTGAATAGAATGAGAGACTTTTGAACACACAGCCCTAAATGAGATGTTTCCATCAAATACCTCATACCTCAGGACTCAGGAAACCCTGTACAAGAGGAGGTAGAAAGAGTGTAAGTGCCAGAGGGGATGGAAGACACCAAGAAAACAAGGCCCTTTAACTCAACATGTTCAACACATATAAACACATGGACTAAGGCAGCATGCACAGGGCCTGCATGGGTCTGCACTGTATGGGGTCCTAGAGCTGAAAGGAGAAGTGGACACAAGCCTTTATCCCTAACTCATAAGCAATCTTCAACTGAAAGCCACTTACAAACAAAAATTTAGTTTCCTACAAAAGAGTCTATGGGGGAAACAAAGTACTCGTAAGGGTAAGTGGCATGCCCAGCAGTAGATGGCCAATAGAAAGCAAACTCAAGGGCATCTTTGGAGGTTCCCTTTCTCATAACATCATGTCAGGGCTCTTTTTATCTTACCATTTTTTAAAATTTCATTTATATATACTTTTTCATCTGTTTTTTGTACCTTATATTTCTTCTGTATATATATTATGGCTTCCTGTTTAGTTTTTTTATGGGTTTCATGAGTGTGCAAATGATTGGGTCTCTGTTTCTTCTCCTGGGTTCTTTTCCTTCTGTTTTTTTGTCCTACTCCAATGTATTAGTTTAGGATTTATCTCATCATATTTTATCTTATTATTATCTCTTAGAAGCCTGTTTGCTTTCTAATGAGAGACAGAAAGGGTGTGGATCCAGATGGGAGGGGAGGTGGGAAGTAAATGGAGGAGTAGGGGGAGGGGAAGTCATAGTTAGGATGCAGTATGTGAGAAAAAAAGCCAATTAAAAACATAAACAGCAGTTGAGCACATAGGAAAGCTCAGGAAAGCAGTCAAGAATTTACTGGTCCAGAAACTAGCAAAAAGAAATACAGTTCTTTGGTTTCTTTGCTTGTTTGTTTTTCAGTTCACAATTCTAGACATTAACCTTCTGTCAGATGAACATCTGACAAACACCCTCCAACTCTGTATTTTTACTTTATGCTATGTCTTTTGCTGTGCAGGTACTTTTGGTTTCACAAAGTCCTATTTGTCAATTCTTCTTTTTTCCTGAGTGGTTAAGAGTCCTCTTTAGGAAATTATCACCTATGTCTGATCTTGAAAAGTTCCTCTGTTTCCTTCCTGCAAAAATTGCAAAGTTATACTGTTCTCCAGATAGCTCAATGTTATTTGTTTTATGCAGTTTTTCCTCTGGTCTGATACAGACAATTCATTCTTTTCTTCTTTTTATTTTGTTATTTTTTATTTTGTAAATTCTATTGCCCATCTCAATTTCATTTCTCTTGTCACCTTTATGTTTATTTTAGTGGATCCACTGCCCTTGTTTTTGTGTTTTCAAGTTCATAATTTATATTTGGTTCTTTCTCATAACTTTTAGTTCTCTGATGAAATTTCTTTTTCTATAGTTCTGTCCAGAGAACACTCAACTGCTTGGTAACATATTGAAAATGGCTGCTTAATCCTTTTCAGTAATCATATCTTCTTCATTTCAGTGTTGGTATCCAGAAAATAGAAGTTTTCGCTCTCGCTTTGATTTTTCCAATTTTTGGTATGATGGGATTAAAAAAATATATCCCAAACATGTTGGGCACAGTGATATTTCAGCAAGACTATATCTTATAATTTTGGTATTCAGATGATTAACATCTAAGGTAACTACTGATATAGTGAACTTAAGTCTGCCAATAAAGATACCATTTTGATTCCTCTGGTTTTAATACCTCTGTTTCTTTTACCTTTCTGAGAGTTGTTTAAGTATGTTTTTATAAATGTCTAATTGGGCCATTTTGGTATGATTTGATGACATCTATTATTCTTATGTTAGTTTTAACAAAGAACCAATTACTAGAGTCTTACCATATGGTAAGCACTTACTTTCAGAAGCAATTCAAATCAACTTTTACAGGAAGCACTGTTTGGTCCTAATGTCACAATTTTATATCTTTTTTATATGTACACTGTGGCACAGTCATTTTTAATGTTCCTAAACCTCTTGTCAAGTTGTGTCACGTATAATTTACCTTATATGTTAGGATGCAAGGGAGGGCTTCTAACTAGCTAGAAAGAACAGCAAATGCAGACTTACTTTTACTGAAGAACGTGCTAACCATAAAGGCAAAGCATATGGATGCGATGGCATAACATGTAAGAAATACAAAGATGAAGCTACAGTCACTGTAGCGCAAGATTGGCTCCTCTACAATCTACAATGAAACAATCATGACATCAGATAGGTACACTATAATTAGTGTCACATAAGCACAAGATAAGAGACAAAGGCATGGTTCCTACTGAAACACATCACCACACTCAGCTGGTGAGACTCAAAGACAGGAAGTTAAAGTATTGCTGAGAGACTCAGCAGCATCTCAGTTTTCTAGTAAGGTCAAAACCCAAAACCAATTGATTCTACTGTAAACCTGAAAACAGTAAGTCCATAGCATGATATCTCTCCTTTCACTGGACTATGTAGCAGACTCAACTCATTGAAACTCATCTACTTGTTAGAGTAGGTATTTGTCATATGTATTTATAAAACACCTGAAATACAGTTTGGATGACTGTGGAATTCGATTTTATTTTTAAGAAGACAGTTTAAATTTAAATAAAAACTATAGTATTGTCAAAAATGGTATATATTTCCATAAAAAAACTTAATGTCAGAATTGGGACATACAGTAACACAAAACACACTAGTTTTTAAAAACAATAAAAACAAAACATTATTTTAAAAATTGTTATATGGTAAAAGAATATTTTAAAGACTTGAGTTAAACATATCACTAAAAGAATTTTGTCTGCTTCTCCTTATATACATATACATATATTTAAAAAAAACTTCAGTAGGTAGTAAAAATTTAGTATTATATATGCAATTAATTATATATCTATTAGACAGCATGAAGCTAGACACTTGCCTGGACAAAGAGTAATATACATATTAAAAGAATAATGATGACATATAAAGGGAAGAACGTGAAGAAATAGCCAATCCAGATGATCCAATTTGTAAGCCCCATTATGAGTTGGTACTCCTGTAGGACAGTCAACACAAATCAAGCATTATTTATGTCTGGAAATTTACACTAGGTTTCACACACCACTTTTGAAGTTTTACTACAAAGTCTATAAAAACGGTTGTTATCTCCACTTTAAGAATGAGAAAAATCAAGACTTAGAAGTCTATCAAAATTATGCAGTAAGCAAGGTCCACACTTTTCTTAAAATATATGTTTTTCTGAGTTCAGAGATCTTTTTCAATACTACATCTGGGATTTACAAAACGAAAACCATTTTAAATTTATTTTATGAGTTTTCTCACACATATTTAGTGTTATTTATGTCCTTTATCCCCTTACCCTTTTGTAAATATACATATGTAAGAGTGTGTGTGTGTGTGCACATATGTTTATGCAATATTTATCTTTGTATTCTCTGAGTCTTGTACATCTGAGTTTTAATATATATTACTAATTTTGGAAACTTTTCCAAGTGTATTTATCTCTCAATTTTCAGGATCCAATTATATATGTTACACCATTTGATATTGTTCTATAATTTTTGGGTGCTTTCTTCTGGAACTGTACACTTCCCTCTGTTTCAGTTTGTGTAATTTTGTGCTCATTTTTTATTTATTTTCTCATTTTAATTTTCTACTGATAAACTTGTTAAAGGCATTCCTAAATACTGTTGAGATATATTATTTTGAAAATTTCATTTATGTGGATACATAAAACTGTTTTCATGGAAGTATATAAAATGTGCTTTGACCACTTCTGTATCTTTACCATAGTGCAACAAAATAACATTTTAGGTATATCTATATGTGAATGCCACGATTCCAGTGAATCTGAGAAATTAAGATTGCTATAAAGAGTTCTGGGGCAGGAGAGATGGCTCAGCAGGCAATGTCTGCTTGCCATGCCTGACAAGCGTAACAACCTGAATTTGACCCCTAAAACCTACATGATAGAGGGAACTGACTCTTGAAAGTTGTTTGCAGACTTCTATATATGCCATGGCACATGTGGGTGGTATATACACTAAATAAAAATGTGAAAAATACCCAAAAACACCCAGGAATTTTGGATAATTCTATATTTACAGAGCTTAGAATATTAACCACAATTAAATTACCTGTTAAATATTCCCAACATCTATGTATCTTTAACTTTCTTGAGAATATTGTATATGAGTATTGTATTTATATAATTTTTATCCCTTCTTTCCTCTCTAGCTCCTCCTGTATCCAATTACATTTCCTCTGAAATTCATGACTACTTTATTTTTGCCATATGAACACACGCACACAGAAATACACACACCGAGAAACACACACACACACACACACACACACACACCCTACTGAGTACATTCAGTTGCTGCTCAGATGTACAGGTATTTAGGGCACAGCACACAGGACTGCATCACCTATCAGGAGGCTTCTCCCTGGGTAAAAACCTGCCTCTTTCTGTCTCAGCAGCCATTTAACTGAATGAGACTCTTCATTTAGGTGTGGGAACTTTATGAAACTTCCCCTGTGTCCATCATCTGTTTCTTACCTAAGTCTAGTACTGATGATCAATTTGCTTCTTTGGATTGTTTTCCTGTTTGTTGCTTCTTCATTTGTTTAGCAACTTTTTGTTGTTGTTGAGAACTTGTACATTGTGGAAAGTAAATGGACTCTGATGTTAATGAACCACTAGGTAGTGGGACTTTGTTAATTTTTCCCTGAACTGGATTGTATTTGAAATTCATTGCTGCTGTATGTATAAAAGACTTCAAGTTCACTTAGTAATTTTTTATGTCCTCCTAGAAAATTAGTTTTCTTTTATGTTGCTTTCCTGTTTAAGTTTGTCTCTGAAGCCGTTCCAGTTTGGGAACTTGATATCATCAGGACCCATGCTTCTATACTAGGTCTCTTGCTGCTCTGCTGCAATGTAACCAATATCCAGCAATGCTGAATACATACATGGAGGTAACCTACTTTCCAAAAGATACCCACAGGCATGCTCTCTCTCTGTCTCTCTGTCTCCCTCTCTCTCTCTCTCTCTGTGTGTGTGTGTGTGTACACATACATAGGTATGTATGTACATACATACATATGCACATATTTTTTAAACAGAAAGTGATACTACCTTTAATCGTTTTTCCTTTTCAAACACAATGGATCGCATGATGGAAAGGACAATGGAAGAGAACATGAGTATGAACATTAACGGGATGAAAGGACTGGAGATCCAAAGTAGTTTATCCTGAGGATGACTTGGGTATGGAAACCTCTGTATCAGAGTTTCAATTTCATCAAACAGCTTTTTCCCAGCACTGCTTTCATGATACAGCATGATGCTCTTGTCCAAGGCATGCTGCACTGCCAGGAATCCTTCTTTGATATACCCTGTGTAAGAAAACTCATGGTCAAGTGAAACAGACTAAGGAGCAACTCAGACATATGAAGAAAGAAATGCAAGGAATCTTTAGCTCGCAACATACAGAACCTACCACATATTTGACATAAAAAGGTATTTCTTTGGGTAAATACGATTTTTATCTTTCTAAAATTAAAATATTAATAAAACTGGCAAGCTTGCTAAATTTTCTACTTACAAAATTTCTACTTAGAAGAACAATGACAATATACTTAAATATTGAGAAGATCATGACTTCATAAAGGAATGAAGTCCCAGAACCAGAAACAACAAAGAGGCAAAAAAAAAAATTAACAAAAAGATCTCTGTTCAATAAAGTACAGGATAGATAAAATCAGAAACTGGGGCCAGGGTGATAGAAAAGAAGTATATACTAATAAGTCTAAAGGCTAGAGTTCAGATGTCTATGACCCAAGATAAAGCTAGGCAGTCATGGTAGCTTTCCCATAATCCTAGCATGTAGGAGGTGGGTATAGGTATCCCTGGTAAGTAGTTTAGTTGAAATGGCAAGCTATGAGTTCATCAAGAGAGACTATCTCAATACATAAGGAGGAGAAAAATCAAGGAAGAGACCCAAATTCAACCTCGGGCCTCCTCAAAAACACATGTGTACCCACAGATGTGTGAAACTGGATGTAAACATACAGTCACACTATAGACATACATATGGCAAGAATAAGAAATTAGAAGTTGCAAACAACTATCCATAACTGGAATGATTACAGACCCTAGAGGAGAACCCATTACTGCCATATTCCTAAATCAATATAATTTCTAATATTCTAAATATCCTCATAACCACAAAAAGTATAGTTCTCACTCCTCATCAAAGAAGCTTACTTTGCAGCAGATGAAGATGATTACAGAGAGCCACAACAGATCAAAACAGAGAGTACTCCTAAGAACATAATGGGAAAACAGATGGAAAGATGGTAAAAGCCAGAGGACTAGAATACCTGGTGTGATGTAGTGACTTCTAGACATAACAGGAAACATACAACAATGCAGCTACATAAATATTAAGAACTGCAGCAAATCCATAAACCAAATACTGTGGCATTTAAAAAACATTGATTTTTTCCAATTAATAAACATGAAAGGCATCCCAATTTTTCTACTTTTTAAGTATTTCATAATTTTTATTGTAGAGGTCTTCATGTCTTAGTTAAATTTATTCTTAGGCATTTTTTTCTTGTAATGACTGTGAATTGAATTATTTCATGATTTGTTTCTCAGCAATTTTATTATTGATGTATAAAATGCTAATTTCTGTTTAATTTGAATCTTGCAAAAATCAGTCCATAGTTTTGTTAGAGTTTTGTTTGTCTCTTAATAAAACTGTATCATCTACAATTTGGGATAGTTTTAACTTCTGCTCTTGGTATTTTCATATCTTTATTTAATTGCCTTGTCTATTTGGGACTTAACAAGTGGAGTAAAGTGAATATATATATATATCTCCTTTACGATGTCTAAGTGTGATAAGTGTATACACAGTGTACATTAGTGTATATATAATTTGTTCAGGGCTTTATCATAAAAATGTCTTCCCTACATTGATTGAAATAATTGTGTTTTTTACCTTTCTTTATGTTTATATTGTATACTACACTGAAAAACGGTTATACATACGAATCATCCTTGCATCTTGGATTAATCAAGCTTGATTGTGATAAACAATCTTTGATAGGATGTTGGATTTAATTTGCTTGTATTTTTAATAGGCGTGTGATATGTGCATGTACAACTGCATGTGGCTGTGTGCGCCCATGTACACATATGCAGAGGGCAGTAGGACATGTTGGGGATCTACTTCTATTGTCCTAGATCTTTGAGTTTGAGACAGTTTCTCAATGAATCTGAACACTGCCATTTCCAGTAAGCTCATTGGCCAGTGAGTTCCCAGGATCCATCTGTCTCTGCTGAAGATATATGTATTTGAACTCAGGCCCTCATACTTTCATAGCAAGCTGTCTTACCCACTGAGCCATTTTTCCAGTGTGGTTTCCAGTATTTTGCTAAGAATATTTGCACCTATTTCCATCAGGAATATCCAGCTATAGTTTGCGTGTGGGTTGGTGAGTGTATGGTTCTATCCTTGACTATTCTGGTAAAAGGTTATCTTAGGGTTTCATTGCTGTGAAGTGACTTCATAATCAAGGCAACCTTTTCTTTCTTTTTCTTTAATCATTTCATTCCTTTACATTTCAAATGATATCCCACTTCCAAGTTACCTCTCTACAAACCCCCATCCTACATCTGCCCTCTCCCCCCCTTTGCCTCTATGAGGCTGTTCTTTTACCTACCCACCCTCTCTTGACCCACTACTCCAGCATCTCCCTATTCTGGGGCATCACAGGACCAAGGGCCTCCCCTCCCATTGATGTCAGACAAGGCCATCCTCTGCTACATATGTATCTGGAGCCATGGATCCCTCCCTGTACACTCCTTGATTGGTGGCCTAGTCCCTGGGAACACTGAGTGGTTTTGGCCAGCCAATGTTTGTCTTCCTATGGGGTTGAAATCTTCCTCTGCTCCTCCAGTCCTTCTGCCAGCTCCCACACTGGGGTCCTTGACCTCAGTCTGACGGTTGACTCCATATCTGCATTGGTCGGTTGCTGGCCAAACCTCTCAAGAAACAGCCACACCAGGTTCCTATCAGCAAGCACCTCTTGGCAACAGCAACAGTGTCTGGTTTGGTGTCTGCAGACAGGGTTATCTGTGGGGCAGTCCCTGCGGATGACCCTTCCTTCAGTCTCTGCTCCATTTTTGTCCCTGTTATTCCTTTGGACAGGAGCCTTTCTGGGTTAAAAATTTTGAGATGGGTGGGTGGTCCCATCCCTTGATCAGGAGCCATGCCTAACTACTGGAGTGGTCTCTATAGGTTCAATCTCCCCTTTTCTGGACATTTTGGCTAAAGTCATCCCTGTTGGGTCCTGGGAGCCTCTCGTTTCCCTGGAGTCTGGGACCCTCAAGTGGCTATCCCTAGTTCCTCATCCCCTACTGCTACACATTTTTATTTGATTTCCTGACCCTCTGTACCTCCCTCCTGTCCCCTCCAGTACCTGATTGTGTCCTCCCTTATTTCCTCCCCTTCCTCTTTTCCTCTCAGATACCTCACTCCCTGCACCTCCTGTGATCATCCTGTTTCCTCCTCAATGCAGGACTGAAGTATCCACACCCTGGTCTTCCTCTTAAGTTCCATCTGGTCTGTGGGTTGTGTCATGGGCATTGTGAGCTTTTAGGCTAATATCCACTTATCAGTGAGTACATACCATGTGTCTTCTTTTGTGTCTATGTTACCTCACTCAGGATGATATTTTCTAGTTCCATCCACTTGCCTGTGAATTTCATGAAGTCATTTTTTTAAATAGCTGAGTAATACTCCATTGTGTAAACAAACATACCACATTTTCTGTATCCATTCTTCTGCTGAGGGACATCTGGGTTGTTTCCACCTTCTGGGTATTATAAATAAGGCTGCTATAAACATAGTGGAGCACGTGTCCTTGCTATATGTTGGAGCATCTTTTGGGTATCTTCCTGGTAGTAGTTCAGGTAGAACTATTTCCAATTTTCTGAAGAACCGCCAGATTGATTTCCAAAGTTGTTTTACCACCTTGCAGTTTTACCAGCAATGGAAGAGTGCTCCTCTTTCTCCACATCCTCACCAGCATCTGCTATCTTCTGTGTTTTTTGATCTTAGCCATTCTGATTGGTATGAGGTAGAATCTCAGGGTTGTTTTGATTTGCATTTCTCTGATGACTAAGGATGTTGAACATTTCTTTAAGTGCTTCTCTGCCATTGAAGATTCCTCAGTTGAGAATTCTCTGTTTAGCTCTATATTCCATTTAAAAATAGGGTTATTTGGTTCTTTCGAGTCTAACTTTTGAGTTCTTTATATATTTTGGGTATTAGCCCTCTATCGGATGTAGGGTTGGTAAAGATCATCTCCCAATCTGTGGGTTGCCGTTTTGTCCTATTGACAGTGTCCTTTGCTCAAGGCAACTTTTTAAGAGGATTAAAACTTAGTTGGGGCTGGTTTCAGAGGTTCAGTCTATTATCATCATGGCAGGAAGCATGGCAGCATTCAGGCAGATATGGTACTCGAAAAGGAACTGAGATTTCTACACCTTAATTCAAAGGCAACCAGGAAGAGACTGTCTCTTTGACAGGCTGCTAGGAGGAGGGACTCTTCCACACTGGGTGTGCTTGAGCATACTCTTCATACCTTCAAAACCAGTACCACCTGGGTTAATTTTATACATTACTAAGTCTAGCATGAGGTACAACCCTGGTTATATCTGGAACACAGCTTCTTTGTGCTCTCAGAAAACACTTTCCACAAGATTTCGCCTCAGTGATGCTGCTCTCTTCTTAATCACCATTAATTTCTCAGTTCCAGCTAACCAGCATCAATTGTTCCAGTAACCCCTTCCATTCTTGACTCTAGAGCAGAAGCCACATGGCTGAAGCTGCCAAGTTCTGCTGCTTGCTGGGGCTGGAACATGACTCCATTGTTGTATTACATCCTTCACTGCCTAAGATGGCTGTGCTGGAATATGCTCTGTAAACTGACCTTGAATTCAGAGATCTGCATGCCTGTTTCTTGAGTGCTGGAATTAAAGGTGTATACCACCACGCCTGCAGGTAAGCTTTTTTTTTTTTTTTTTTTAACCTGGAACTTCCTCTGTAACAGGCTGGCTTTGAACTCAGAAACCTGCTGCCCTCTGTCTCCTAGGATTAAAGGAGTATACCACCAGGGCTGGCCCTAAGCTTTTAATGACCACTATGCCTCGAGGTCTGGATCAAAAGCCTGTGTCTTCCAGTCTCAAGATCTGGATCAAAGCTAGGTAATAATAACTCCTAACACAATATAACTGCCCCTTGTTCAACTGCAAACATAAACAATAAGGTTAGCTGGGTGGGATCTTGCCTTGAGGTCACCATTCCCTTAATTTCATTTAA